CGTTTGATACGCCTCCGCGATTATTTCAGCCCAGGGAGTCTTCAGCTCCAGAGCGTACCGACATTGAAATCAATACCACTCGAGAGGGGGACTGGTGTGCGAGGACATTTCGATTTGGGGAGGGACTCGCCTTTTCCTTGAGAAAGCCGTGCTATTACCGGCTCAACACACTCGACTCTTCAGCCCAGAATAGTGATCTAACGACAGGCACGGAGATAACAAGTACGTACACCAAATCATTTTCAACAACACTGTATGCCGAGTTCATATTCACGGAGTCAAAAGAGGCGTGAGCAGTCGTTGAGCTTTGGGTGCCACTATAAACTTACGGAGATAGGGAAATCTCTCACAAGATACTGTGTCGTTTTTTAGAACGCCATTTAAAAACTTCTGCTATCGTATAACAAGTTCTCGTCTATTTTTCTCGGGTCAGCGGGGCGCTGAGGGGGGGGGGAGAGTGCGGGGCGGGGAGGGACTACGAATAGGCCTGCTTGCCGCCGCCCTGCAGCCTACGTCGCACACATTGCTCTGCAGGCAGACCCATCCGCGCATCGGATTTCCATTTGCATTCCTATCTGGCATTCTTTCTCACTCTTGATAAGAAATTCCCCAATTCGGCCGGCTGATGAGGGCGGCTTTACATAGCGCGCCTTGGAAAGCCCGTCCAGACAGCAGACCAGACAGCACGGCGTCAGACAGCGTGCCCGGACAGCCGGCACAGACCGGGCCGCAGGGGGGCGAAAACAGAGACCAGAGGAGCGGACGGTCGTGACTCGTGAGTGGGTTTAGCGGAGAGGCGAAGTGACACGTGGACATATGATATGCAAATCAACCCACATCTGTAGTAGCAAATCAAGGCCGCGCGGTCAGTAGACAGTGGAAACTACGCACACAAACGTAGCGCCACCAATCCCAGTGTCCAGTGTCCGTCCACACGACAAACCCAATCACCAAACAACTCTAAAAACGTTCACAAAACCTCCGCCGCCACCCGCTCTGTCGGAGTTCGCTGGACGCCGGGGCGGTCGGAGAGCTGCCTCTGCCGTCTCAGCGGCCGACCGAGAGGGCTCGGGACGGGATCCGAGCGGCCTGTCCCTCAGATAACGACACAGGGGAGAGGCGGATCACGGGCAGCCAGGGCCGCGGCGTCAGAGACGAGCCGACTGCACGGCCGCCCGAGATAAGACGCCGGGGTGACGGGAGGGGAGACCGGCAATTAAACCGGACGGGAATAGCGCACGGGGGGGGGGGGGGGGATGAGAGGATTTGACCACCCGGTGCCGGATTCATTATACTGCACTCTTTGTACGAAAATCGTGATAATTGCTTATGTGGAATGTGTTTAGAAGCGTAACAATTACGTACCGTAAAGTGGGGCTATTTGAAACGGATTTTACTGTTTTTGGCCTCTCCCTTCAAAACGGTTGATATTTCCTATAGCATGTAAATTGGAAAAACGTAGTCCTCTGTAACCGCTTTCAGATAGGTTAATTTTGGTTCACCTAGTAACCATACATAAATTTATTTTTTTAATTGAAGCCTGTTTCAAATAGCCCCATAGTGTGGGGCTATTTGAGACAGTTTTAGTTGCAAGGAAATCGAAGAAAATTGGTCAAGCTAGGGATAATTCTTTTAAAGCCATGCGATTGGAAATTAAATTTTGATACTTCTGGCAAAAAGTATTTCTTTCAACTTATAACCCTTATAATCAAATTTTTCGTTTTTCGTTGGACGTAGCATTTCGGTCTGCTAAAAATTGCATTACTTTATGCTAGGGCTGTCATAATATGATGTGATCCTAAGCTCTAAAAATCACAGGATGATTATCTAGGACTATTTCTAGGTAAACGATAGTGAAATTTTCAAATAAAGTTGTTGTGTTTATATCTGGCGGCGTAAAACATATAGGCCGAAAGTTGGTGGGGCTATTGGAGACAGGCTCGCTACTGCATTACACGCACCGTAATGCATTAAAAAAAGGGAAAGCAGTTTCCAAAATGGTTGAATGAATGATATGCATGATCGATTGCTCCATTGCACATCTACCTGTGAAGAAATAACAGAAAAAGGTCCAATGGTTTTGATTTTATACCGATTTTGCTAGATCACTGCATGTTGTATCGAATGGCCGGTTACCGCACTGCATCAAGTACGTGTACTGAAGGCTCACCTAACAGTAAGTGTGTATGTTAAATAACCTTCAATGGTGCTTATGGTCAACCAGAGTAGACATGGGTCGATTACCGACCACGTCAGTGACTGATGATACACATTTTATGCACATTGCACATATTCATGATAAAGGTGACTAATATCGTCACATGGTCGTATTAACCCGCGCCGGGCCGGTGCTCTGAGATTCCGCGCCGGGCCGGGGGGGTGTCTGAACACCCCCCCGTCTAACTCGGCTCCTGGGCCACGTAGCGACACGCGGTAAGCGGCAATCGAAAGAACGTCTAAAATAAGGACGAAAACACTTCGGTCATTTTTTGGGTCAGGTCAAAGGTCAGGTCACCAGAGGTCACCAAAGGTAAAATGTTGACTATTTCAACATTTTGGAAACTGCCAACGGCTATCTCGGGAACCGATAGAGCTACAGCGCCGCGGAAAAGCGCATTCGATAGCCCTTTTACAGACCTTTCTGAGTAATGTTCTCAGATTTGACCTCAGGTCAACGGTTTAGCCTCCAGAGGGCAAAAACTTCAAAAATAGCCGTTTTTACGAAAAGTGTTTTTTTGGCAATAACTTTTGACTCAAAAGAGCCATGACATTACTTTTGCCAGCATCGTGTTCCTCTCGTCGAGACGCGTCGAATGAATTATAATTTGACCTTGAAAGGTCAGCTTGAAAATTTGACCTCAGGTCAAGGTCATGACCTGACCGGAAAAGGTCATGTTGCATATCAGTCGATCCGTATCGTCGAGCTGAACACATCTAAGGCGTTTTCATCGCTCTAGCATGCCTCTATCAAAAGTTATTAGCGAAAAACTGATAGATTCTGTTCGTGACCTGAGATGACCTCGGGGACATAACGAGGGGTCACAGTTGCCATTTTCCGGTTCAGTGTGTCAATTGTACCTATATCTCGATGTTTGAGAGTGTCTAGAATAGCGTTCGTGCAAAACAGACGCTTTTCAATTTTCTCCCATTGACTTATAATGGAGAGGCCGCAAAATTGACCTGACCTTAGGTCACCGATATCAAAATTCCGAGATATACATTTTGTAGATGTAGTTGCTCTTATCAATCGCTGAAAGTTTCAAGGCAATCGATCAATCAGTGTAGCTATGACGAGCATTCCTATTTTTTCTGAGGTGAGGTCACTTGGCGTGACCTAGTGACCTGACCTAAGGCGACCTGGGTCTGAAATTTTCACAACATGTGCGGAAAAGATGCACAAACAGGTGTGCCAAAAACGGCGGCGCGGAGCGCCGCCGTTTTTGAGATATCTGCGAAAAACCGCAGGGGGGGGGGTGTTCAAACACCCCCCCCCCCCGGCCCGGCGCGGGTTAAGTTACAATGTGTAAATATTGCTTGCTGCTAAAAGTACCATGAACCCATGGCCGATTCATCGGTGTTCCTTAGGTCGAACGTTTGATACACCTAAGGCAGATGGCGGTAAGTCTTTAGGATGCATCACATCACCTGTTTTAGGGCCTTGGGATCACAATCATCAGCTGTATTTGGTATACGTTGAGGTTTGACGAGGTGGGTATCATCGGGATTCTGAGACATCGGGTTACACAACTGTCACTACCGCTAACAATATATAATGTATTCATGTAAAATGTGCTTAGCCCATAAGTAAAACGATAGTAACGATAGATTCGGTAGCAAAGTTTTTAAAACTTAAACCATGTTAAGCTGCAGGTAGGGGTGCTTTTCGTATAACTTAAATTGTGGTTTTTCTGTATTTCTCATTTAATGCCAAATTTCTTTCAAAAATTTTCAAAATTTTCAAAAAAACCTATCCATGGAAATCATTGTTAAATTCCACATCAGCTTGGGCAAAAATTGATCAAAAATATCAAACGGTTTTAATTTTACAGCAATTTTACAAAGCCACTGCAGTACTGTCTCAAATAGCCCCACTGTCTCAAATAGCCCCACTTTACGGTATAAGGAAGTTAAGTAGATGTTTTTAAGACGAGAAATATGAATTTGCACATTCACTGCTTTCATTGTTTTATTTTAACCAACTTATTTATTTCACATATTCCAGATAAGAGCAGTACATAATTCTAACCCCAAGTTTAAGCCCGCCAGACTGAATTCCTAAATTTGAACCCAGTCTAGCCGTCTCAGAGGATCTTCACTCAGTAATAAAGTAGCCTTGCTTCCACTATTGTCAACGGTCACCGCCTATTCCGATTCACCACGTGTTCTCGATGACGAAACGGTCACTAAATTCTCCGTGAGGCGTGCATGTAGCTGCCAGTGCTCGGCACTAAACACAGATCTGCGCGGTTGTGCACTAGCGGATCATCCAGCAGGGAAGATCACGGACACGATCACGGTAAAAGTCGGGCAACGACCCGCCATAGGAGCGACCGCAACCACCATTCCTGGATGACGAAACAAAGACGGGCGCTTACCCTGCTCCCAATCCATACTAGCCAGCTGTTGATTAACTGGTTTTTTTTAACATAGTTGTGACATTTCGTTATTAATAAATAGCTTTCAGCACTCAGCACACTTTTTCGTACCTTTAAATACGGCGTGCTTAGAAGTGTTAACTTTGAAGCAAACCAGTTTGTACTTTTCATACATATAGTGCTTGATGAGGTTTGCCACCTAATCAATGACAGTAGTTCAAACATTTCTAAATGCCATCACGGTCCACTCCAGAGGCTCTTGTCACATTTGCTCGACAGCAGGACATAACCTCCATGGACTAGCTCAGCTAGGACCCTCCCTAATCCATACCGTCCCGCCCGGGCCCGAAAATCTCCCGCAGTCAGATTTCCGACTATCCGTCACCAGTCGAATAAAACAGCACCTGCAGCCGCAAATATCACATATATTCGCACCAGGAAACACTGGCACGTTGTACGTCATGTAAAACCCCATTGAGCGGCTATGAAAATAAATAACCCAGCCACGTAACCAACAACATGCATTCTGCATGACCGTAATACCACCACGAGGCACCTAAGGGCAATGACCCTACCCAGAGAGCATTCAAACCGACGAGAACAACGAAGCTGAAATGTTCTAGACACGTAAGGGTTCATCATGAGCCAGATTGTGTTTTGAACGTCGAACTTGATAATCAAGTGTGCCGAGATAGCAGCATGACACATTTCATGACAACATTTCATTGAAAGAACTAATAAGGACAGAGAAAAGGTAGTACCGAAATACAAAGTGAAGGAGTTCTAAGACAGTAACAATTAGTGCGCCAGGCAAGAAAGCAAGCGTAAAATGAACGACAAAATAACGCAACATCGACATCGATTGCGGTCGGAATGTTTGCGAAACAACCAGAAAATAAACACAATAACCACGCCGACCAGGATTTAGGTAGAGATTGTAGCTGAGTTGGGTGTATTGTAGGTTAACTATAGGTTAACTATATAACTGTAGGTTATATGCATTATCCAGGCAAGATCGAATGGCACTGCTGCAAAGTATTAGTTCGTAAAAATATACGGTCCTGCCGTTAGGTGCTCTTCCTAACAGCATGTTTTCTAACAAGACACTTTGGTTGACTCGACCTCCCCTTTCGTGAAACGTCCACTCCACAGCCACTCGAGTCATTCAGCGAGAGATTCACGGCCTATGGTCCGTCACCGCCGACTGTAACGCCATCCTGCGGCCGCAAATACAACTATTCATTCACCGACCGGCCGCGGACGGCGCCACTGCGGCGGCGCGTCACTACAGGCTGCGTTCCCCGGCGTCTCGCTCTGCAGACTGTTTGTGCGCCAAGTAGATGAACATGATGCTGGTCAGCGCGCTCACCAGGAAGATGACGTCGCACCAGCGGTGGTAGAAGCTGAACTGCAGGTCGCCCAGCACGTCAGTGATGATGCGCCGGTAGTCGAGCGGCATGTTCATGCGCATCAGCACCACCGACGACATGAAGTACATGCCCTGGAGACGAGCGGAACAGTCGTGAGAAAAAAGAGAAATAACAATAACAAATTTAGTATGAGACTGAAATATTCATCTCATGAAATATGCACATTTCTAGCTCCCAGAAACTGACTCCATTCATTTCAACACATTCAATAATCGCTGCCCTTTATCAAGAACTAAAGAATACACCCAACTCACCATTATTTGAGAGAAGACGAGCACGATCACATTCGAAGACTTGCTGCTGGACACAGCGTAGAAGAACTGCGAACAAACACCATGACGATCCAGTAAGCAAACTACACCACGAATCGTAAAGCCCAATTGACCATACAGGCTATGATGACGCAGCGTTGTGTCTCCGTTTGACTTGGTACAAAAATCAGCACATTACCAGCAAAAACCAGACGTCATTCGGATCTAGAAATTTTGTTCTACCCATCTTGATTCGGACCAACCTTTGCAAATATAAGCAAGACTCATTACTCGATAATCATCCTTTAGTTTGATCATTACCTAGTCCCCTTGGCGGCCGAACCTACCTTTGTCAGCGTGAGCAGCAGACCGCGGATGGACGTGACCACGATGCAGCCGACCACGTAGAACGATATCTGCTGCGACCAGAAGGTGACGTCGATGTTGAACCCCAGCCAGTTGACCACGATGTGCATCGTCTTGGTCACCGGGTCAATCTTACCCACGCGGTCGAAAACAATGTTCACCGTACACTGCCGGAAAAGGAAAAACGGCATGATGTCATCATGTTTCTAAGATAATTGTTCCTACCACATTCCCACTTATCATGCATGCTTAGAGGCGGCAAACTAAATCCCAGTGATGTACAAACAATTCCTTCGATTGACAGTCACAGAATCTAGCACATAGTGCAAATAGAGAAGTCTGAATGAACACGCTAGCCGATGGCTGGATACCACTTAAATCCATTAATTCGGAAACATGAGCAATTGAGTAGCAATATCCGCCCCAGAGAGTACTCACGATGAATATTTTCCAGGAGCAGTACATTGAGAAGAAGTAGCCGAGCAGGTTGAAGTAGCGTCCTTTCCACGTTTTGGACCATTCAATCCTCTCCAGCATGTATTGCTGGTCCACGTCCTCCAGAAATAGCTGGCGAACCACCTCCTATGGGAGGACAGACGGTGATTAGCCACGATAGCTTGTAGGTGACGAACAATTCATCGGTGAGCCCTACTTATTACTTAATGAAAAATCTAACTCCTGAACAGGGCATTATTTTCTAACCGCTCCCCATTTATTTACTTCTAGCACCTACTGTCATGTCAAATACAAATACCATACACAATCTGTGAATGTACCAGATTCAGCACCGACTGTACCGAACTTTCCCTGCAGGACCCCTATTTCTCTCTCTCTGTACCGATACCGTTTTCTACAACTGTCTTATGGTGAAAAGCCCTCGAGTCTCCCTCGCCACCCTTCCTCCTTGATCCCGAGCCGGTGATCGTACCTCCATGGCGGCGATCTCCTGTTTGAGCTGACTCTGACTCTGTCCGCCGCTCCACACGGACGAGGCGGCTCCGGTCAGCACGCCCCACAGTCGGCCCGTCCCGGCAGACGACTGCTGCGCGCCACCCCGCCGCAGCAGCGCCAGCTTCCGCTTCTTAGCCACGATTATGTCCATGCGTTTGAGGAGCTCACGCTCGAGTGATTGGACATCGGCGGGTGTCACCTGTCTGAAGAGGTGGCTCGGTCAGCTACAGCTGGAGGTAGGAAAGTGGCATACGACGTCACAGCTATGGTAGAACGCTCAGTGGCGAACAACACCGCCGCATACACTGCATACGCTAAATGATCGTTACTACATACGATCATTTATAACAGTGGCGTGTTGTTTGTATTGACATCGACTATAACCGGTAGCAATATTTTATAGTGAAATGGTAAATTAATGTCATACAACGGATCAGACGACCACAGAGCGTTGCGGTTGCTGTTAACTGACGAAGTCTTTATCGCCGTTTCACCGCTTACCTCATGAACATGGCCATTGACTGGTAGGGGTAGTTGACGGCACCGAACCCTGACAGCATGGACATGACGGTGACGCCGATCACGCCGACCCTGCTGATGAGGTGCTCAATGCTGAAGAGTCCGTGCTGCGGGCTGAGTAGCGGGAACGGGTCTCCGACCTTCCAGAAGGCGTACAGGAAGAGCAGCCAGGTGAGCACTGTCAGCGGCCGCTGCAGGTGGTGCGGAACTGATGGCGAGATGGGGGGAGCAGAGTGAGCTATTGGGGTGGGACACACAGTGGGGAAGATAGGGCAACTAGGTTCTGTAAGACACTCATCACATTTTAGATAATTTGAGTAGTGCCTCTGACAAAACAAAACTGATTAAATTTATGAGCCAAATTTACTATTTAGCAGTGAATGAAGACTGCTTGATACTTAAAAGTCAAAGTGTTTCATTCTTGCTCCATCAAACATCTCCTTTGATGCTGTCTGATATCCTGTCCAAATAATATTGATCCTGTCCACAGACAATCTCACTGTCATTATTCTAGCCATTCATACTCACCTCTGCCAATGTTGCAGATGACAAAGTAGGCAATGTAGAAAGGGATGACTCCAACTACCATAAACAGCATCAAGTACAAATCCAGATGCCAATGAAAGTAGCGAGACCTGTAAAAAAGGAATCATGCAGCTGTGTTACAGAGTGTCAGAGAGCCAGCAAAACAGAATAACTACCACTGTAGAATGATATACCTGGTAGTTTTGCTGATGGGCAATGAGCCAGCTGTCAATTCAATGGCTATAAACTGCAACATCACAGAACTAAACAATCATAACAAACTTACACTACCAGTCTCAGATTCCAATACAAATTACAATACTTGCCTTGAGTCTAGAAATCCTAGAATTTCAAAGATGATGAGCTCAAACATGGTACATGAGAGAGCGAACGTGATGGCAAATATGAGCTGCACTAGAACATGGTGAATCTCATAATCCTTAAACAGCATCTTGATGAAGAACACCCAGCCACCAGAGAAGAAAATGGCCTGGAAAGAACATTTGTCAAAAACAGTTTCACCACACAACTAGAAGTTTATTCATACTTATCACATCAATAGGCATATTTCTTATAATCAGCATGAACCCATTGATAGTCACTATATAACAACTAACAAGTGAGACATCTTAAAATATTGATGTTGAAGCTAAAATGTGTGCAGATTCAGCCATGCCTATTCAGTGGTTTAGAGTAGGCACCACCAGTAAAATTATTGAGTACCTACCTCCAATCTAATTTGTCAATAATACATTTACCACCTAATTGTTGAAGTTTGTACCTGTGAGAAGAACATGATGAATGAATCTTCCAAAAACGACATTCTTGCAAACTAGGGCACAAAGCCCAAAAGCTATCAATCTTGAACTTGTTGATCTTCACCTGCAACAGCAGTATAAACATGAGTTTAGAGATTCAAAGTTACAACAGACAAGATGGAGCAGGATTCAAAAGGTGCTTTCCTGTAATGGCATAAATACATTTGCTTGACATCACAGCTGTAAGTCTGGGAGAGAACAGCACAGCCGCTGGGCCAACCAGTCTTAGGTTGAGGTGCTGATTTGCATGTTATATGAATGACCTTATGTTCTGTTCCAATTGCATCACCATATCCAGCATATGCGGCGGAATGTGGGGGGCACCGTTCCCCCTTTTGATTTTGCCATTTTAACATAGGCCTATGGGCGTTGCATGGAAAGAATGGGACCAAAAGTCGGCAGTGCCCCCCTTATTTGAAGGTGTTCCGCTGCTACAGATATCCAGCAGCCTCAACTAATACCTACCTAATTGTTACTCCTCTTAACAATGCTAGCCCAGTCCAAGGCGCCCAGTCAGGTTAGGTCAAGGTTAGGTTTATTTTGATTTGGTTAGAAAGAAGCATCTCCTGCAGGTATAGCGCCTCTCCTTGGATGGAAGGTCTTTGTGTGATGTCTACTCGCCTACTCCTCTACTAATGCTGTTATTTCTGCTTGTAATGTACCTGGTTTTATAGCATTAAATGTATGGTTTTGGTTTGGTTTGTGACAATGTTGATCTTGATGAAGTGTGGCGCTTATTTAATTTTGAGACTTGGATGCAAAAGGAGGATTTCACCCATATCTCATCGTGAATCATTATGGTTCAGTTCGATCCGTATTTTTCGAAGATTATTATATCAATTACCCACAAGAAGAAACCGGAAAAACCGGCAAAAAATAAACAAATACCTAAGGCAGCCCAAGCCCAGGGATGGGCCAGGTTATTATCAAGGTTTAGGCGTTCAGCTTCATCCTTAACAATGGCAATTAAGTAAATACTGCAGTAATGCAAAAAATGTAAACAAAATAATAGCTTAAAAATTACCTAATACAACAACAAATATCAAAATCCACGGGAAGAGTTTTTGTGTGGGCTGTTGTGTTGGAAATAAAATGAACCTCTTGCGCCGCGTATGAATAATTTTGTAGTATTTGCTGCCAAATTTACGGAAATGAATTCCTTTATTAAATCAATGATGCGTAGTCAAATGCACGTCAATTTTGTTATAAAAAACTTGTGAACGGCATTTCCTAAAAATCCTCATTACTGATGCAGATAATCTTGATGCAGGTACGCAGCGTAATATTGATGGCCTTGAGTGGTCAAGTCAGCATTTCGGCAATTGTAGCCATCACATTGGCACTAGGCAGTAGGTACTCAATGCGTAAAGGAATCTTGCTCAATGCTACCAGACCGATCGAGACTAAATATGGATTCACCGTATGCCGGATTTCATAAGCCGTTTCAAATATGATGATTTCGGCCGGATAATCTTGGTGAAATTGCACTGGTGGATACAAATTACAAGGGGGAGGGCTTTTAGGGCAAATGCCCTCTCGTAGAGCCCGAAATCCATAGCTTGTCTTTTAGGCGGCGAAGTTACTATCGAGTCATCGACCGTCTGCGTGGCTGGGTGATCTGCGTCTAACTATCGGATTCGGTCTCGGCGCCGCACTTTGGTGGTCGTCAAGGCCCTAGACCATTGTGACTGCTTTCCTATTCAACTCCTGGCAACATTTCGATTCTAAAATGACCTCATTAGACCGAAACCGTTTAGCCAAACAAATATTTATTTTGCAGAAAACACAGGTTGCACTTTGCAGACCTAAAAACACGGTAACGGGTAAGACATTGACAGCATAATGACTAAACACGTACGTCCTGAGCTTCCCAAGAAGTCAAATACTCAAAAAGTCCATGGGCTAAAAGTGAAAATGATAAAAAGTCGAAACATTACATAGAAGTAAAAAGACAAAAAATTAAAAGGAGACAGAGAGTCACTGAGGGTGAAAATGGAAACACGCAGTGCGTCGGATGGGTGTCGGATGGATTGCATGACTTCCTCAGTCTTTGTATGTTCGGCGCCGGGGGTTACGGGGCCGTGGGATAGATTCCATCCCACCCAAGCGTCCACTTAACAATGCTGACTATACTCTGAGTGTCCGTGGGTGACCTAGAGATAGTTTGATTAGCATGAATGTTGCAGTGCGTTTGAACCTATGGTTTGCACACTCTGCTGGTTTGCACTGTTCACCGTCAAACACGCGTGACACCGTCCAGGCTGAAGGCCACACCCAACACGGTCGCGGACTCTGCCTCTGAGTTTATCGAGAGAGGACGGTATAAAACGACTGTGCTGTCTCAGCAGCGACACACACTAGCAACAGTGACCTAGACGGCAACATGTTCTGCACTAAGGTGAGATGTCTATACCTGCAGAGAAACGTCCGTTTCCTAAGCCCTAACGACATCATATGCTTGGACGTGTGTTGTATTTTGACAGTATGTCCCGTTTATGAATAGCGCATTCATCGGCATAACGGTTATAGATATTATCCTGACCATATGTCGATTCAATATTACAATGCTAGATGCTGGTTTCAGTGTATTAATGCCATTTTTTCACAACTTATTTATTTCGATAAGAAAAAATCAACACTTTTTAATTTCTTTTCAGGTTTTCGCCGCTTCCCTGCTGGTCGGGCTGTGCCTGGCTGATGGAGGTGGTCGCTTCAGTCACGGCCACGGACGGGTGACCTCAGGTCACGGAGCTGTGACCCGAGGTCGTGACTTCGGAAAACTGGAGTTTGGTGGACGAGGAAATAAGTTTAACGCTCTCAGCTCTGGATACCACGCTCCTAGCACTGGCTACCACGCCCCTAGCTCCAGTTACAGCGGCCCTAGCTCCAGTTACAGCGGCCCTAGCTCTAGTTACAGCGCCCCTAGCTCCAGTTACAGCGGCCCCAGCTCCAGTTATAGCGGCCCTAGCTCCAGTTACAGCGGCCCTAGCTCTGGATACAGCGCTCCTAGCTTTGGATACAGCGGTCCTAGCTCCAGCTACAGCGGCCCTAGCTCCAGCTACAGCGGCCCTAGCTCCAGCTACAGCGACATTGGCTCTGGATACAACGATATTGGCTCTGGATACAGTGCTCCTAGCTCCAGCTACAGCGACATTGGCTCTGGATACAGTGTCCCGAGCTCTGGATACAAGGCTCCCAGCTCTGAATATGGCCCGCCCAAGCTGTCGTCTGGCTATAACTGATATACCCAGCCGGGAAGAGTGTGCGTTTTGTCCGACCGGGTCACTCGGTGTTGATCAATAAGGCTTCATGCTCCCATATTGTTTGGAAAAAAATGCTTCTTCTTGAAAATAGTTGCATTCATCTACATTGCTCAATATCTAGCCATGATTTTTGGCCATCGATGATTGTATTGAAGCACATTCTCATCCAACGTCAATATGCATTCACATCTGAATAAGTCTGTCCTTTGTTATTGCAGCCCGAAATATATCTTATATAGAATTATGTTAGTGTATTTGGATCAGCCTACTGACCACACGGCACACACTCTTTATCACATCTCGGGAAAGATGAAGGAGAGCTATAAAGCTATCTAGGTAATTACAGCCCTGAGCATACATATTATGCGTCTGTCTTCTACGTATTTGTCTTCGGAAAATGTTTTTGGGATTTCGGGTTAATAGATACCTACCTATTCATCACAAAGCTTGGCTTTGGTTTCCATTGGGAGACAAGGAAATATACCTAATTAAGAAAATATGCTGGGGGGAGGGGCCTCAGTTGCAAGAAGCTGAATTAATGCCAGATAAAATGCGTGCTTATTTCACGGGCAAAGCGCGAGATGGTGGCAGTAAGAGGTGTAACATAGCACGCACGCTGGTGATATACTCGTAGGCGTTGATATGATGCCTGCAGCGATTTACCACATTGAGTGGTTCTGCAGCTACACACCAAACATACGAGTATAGACTACATGACATCAAACTTTCGATTTATTGCGGAAACTAATCGATGTGTAAAGCAATCACTACGTAAATGCGGATAGACTTGCTATCATGAAGAACACAGGCACATGAATGTCTCGATTGCAAATAAATTGGAAACTGATTTACGGCTAATCACGTTGTGAAAGACGGACCAAATTACTCTGAAATCATTGAATCTTGTTGAGGTCTGCGGTTACATCTTTAGAAACACGGATGATCGGACAGAAAATCGTCTGAAAATCGCTGAAGCAGCGGCGCTTCCCCGGTAGCCAGTGCCGCCTCAGCCCGTCATCGGTCCGCCGCCAGCCGGGCTTTCTGCGGCTGACGTCATTGTGGCTGTGACGTCACTGTTCACCGTGACACACCTGCAAGCGGGCATTTGTTCAGGCGGAGGGGCAGGATATTTCGCTTATTCGTATAATGATGTAAATGTTTATAAGATTTAGACAAGCATAAACATTTTTGTATATTTTAACTACAACTAGAGGTACAGGTTTACGCGATAACTGTATGTTTTGATATGTATGATTAACGGATGCATTAGTTTGGGTGTATAAACTTGCATTTTTATTGGTATCATTTGTGTAGAACTGGGTAACTGCTTTTAATTGAACTGTAAAGTATGATGGTGATGCATGAGAGTTGTTCGAGCCCTTTGTAAGTTAGGATGTTACTCAATTCAACCCTACCCTACCCTACCCTACCATACCCTACCCTACCCCTACCCTACCCCTACCCCTACCCTACCCTACCCTACCCTACCCTACCCTTACCCTTACACTACCCTACCCTTACACTACCCTACCCTACCCTACCTTACCCTACCCTACCCTACCCTACCCTACCCTTAGACTACCCTACCCTATCCTACCCTACCCTACCCCTAACCCTACATTACCCTACCCTACCCTACCACTACCCTACCCTACCCAACCCTACCCCTACCCTACCCTACCCTACCCTACCCTACCCTACCCTACCCTACCCTACCCTACCCTACCCTACCCTACCCTACCCTACCCTACCCTACACTACACTACACTACACTATGTACACTACCACCGACAGTCCAAGTTTCAGCTAAATCGGCCCAGAAACGACTGAGATATTGCAAAAACAAATTAATTGTATTTACTGGCGAATCCTCTTGGCGAGCAGTGCCTTGTGTCGGCCTTCGTTGTCAAAGGTCAATGACCTCCCGGCTCTGATGCTTCTCACTCAGTTTTTTAAGCGAACAACTGAGCCTAAAGCACGTGCCTTCTGCTCGGCACCGGTCGCGGCCCCATCACGTGCACACCGCTGAACCCACCCCCTCGAAAATTTAATACGACAAATGAGTGCAGGCGCTCGACTTGGCGTGAAAATTTCACCACCGTAGCCCTTACCGTTCCCGAGCAATAGCTTGTTTTTGCCGATTCTAATGCTAACCCTATGGCGCACATGAGCACGCGCCACGGGCGCACCCCCGGCCGCATCGTGCCCAAAATTCAATACGACGTGTTGAATCACGTGACCCACGAGCCGTGAAAATTTCACCCTCGTGCGTCAATCGACGGCTTTGCAATAAGTGTTTTTGGGCGTTACCCCGACGGCGGACTTTTTAGGATTTATAATATAGATTAGTAATTACATTCAGTGATATTTAATAATTAACGAATTCGTTGACACACAAGCGACATGCGTCAGATAATTAATAGTCGATGCAAGCAACATACATGTAGGTATAGTTATACGCAACCGAAGGTTTGTTGTCAATAGTTAAAACACTATTCTTTAGAATTGTGTTTTTCTATTGAAAAACAAATCTGAGTTCCCTGACAATTTGGCAAAAGCTGCCTGAGATCATATAGTGTGTATGACACTCAATAGTTATCCAATGTTGTATGTCTCATGCGCACGAAACTAATGCAACGTTTAACCCTCGCCCGCACATGGGGGGGGGGGGGTTGCCCCCCCAGGTAGTCTTTCTGCTCTGCACTAAACATTTTTAGAGCTAGAAGGCTGATTTTTCGTATACGTGCTCCTCTATCCTTTCTTGATGTCCACTGAAAATTTCAAGTTTCTGTGGTTTTTGGTTTCGGAGATATGACCTTGTTTTTCAGGTCATGTCATGACCCAAATGGCCAATTCTCAACATCTTGCGTTGGCTATGGGCCTTGTGAGGTTTTGACACCTTGATTTCGGCCTTTTTTGCCAGTCTTACCTCCCACCTATCATGGAACATGTTGTTCGACGATGTACAGATGTCAAGGTCAAGGTCAAGGTCAACCTAGGTCATCTAAGATAATTGCGTTTTAGGCAAGCGGAATTTACTTTTTGTGAAGTTTTTTTACTGCATTTTTGGTAAAAGCTTCTCAGATCGTGATTTCATGTAATATGGACACAAACAATCGGTGCACACATCAGTATACACACAGACACACACAGACATACAAACACATATAATTGACCTTGACCTAACTTGTCCTGAAATGACCTCAGCAGCAAAAACCTGGTCGAGTAGTGTGACAAAGAGGTTCTAGCTGGCTTGGCACCAGAAAACGGCATCGTCATCGGTATATGATAAGCAGCGCACTTGATATCCAACGGTGTCCAAAAACAGCAACATTTTTTAGTTTGACCTGACCTGGAAGGTCAATGACTGACCTGAGAAGGTAAAACTGGGTATCATTGGATTTGTCTCTTCCCAAAGAATCTTTTTGGTCTTTACCGCTAAGCTCTATCTCCAACAGGAACGAAATGGCGCGGGGGGGGGTGTGGCACCCCCCCCCCCATGTGCGTTCTAGGATGGGAAAATGGCATGTGCGGGCGAGGGTTAAATCGAGTGATGGCTTATTGAAAACATCGGCAGATACGGCATGACTGACCGTTTCACATCAGCTTCGGGGAATGATCAGCACTCAGCAGGCAGCTGCCAGCGCGTCCTTGATCCCCTGCACAATGCGGTTCATCTTCTCTGGGGTGTCCACGTAGCCATTGCCGTTCTGAGGGGGGGGGGGGGGTAGGGGGGAGAAAAGACAAGGTCGGAATAGAGAACACGTTCGAATGCTGACAATGCTGTTTTTTAGACACGGTGGTGAAACATCGTTGATCATGCCCATCTGAACTATTGTGCATAATTAAAATTATCATTTATGTTATCTACATTACATAACATAAAAACAATAAACATAACTAATGAAAACAGCACTGATAACTTACCGAGTCGCACCTGCCTCTCAAGTCTCACTTTGATAACCAGATCATAGCAAATAACGTGGACTATAAACTTTCAGCAATAAGACAGTCGCTTACCTTTTTGGAATGCAGAAGTTTTCCGCCGACGATCTGGACCTCGAAGTAGCCAGTGACGCTGGCGGTTCCCTCACCAGTCTGGAAAGGCACACAACGCGTCTGAGATATCGAGGCAACATGCGGAAGCCTGAGACGTAATTACGATGACCGAATATTTACTAAGCGCGAATGTAAAGAAAAAACGGGCTGTTTGAACTAGCAATGCATAAAAAAACAAGGAAATGTGTAATATTAAATCATTTTGTGCCTAAAGCGATAAATATAAGTGAACGGACCTCACATCAATCATTTACTTACGATGTCCAGCTCCCTCGGAAAGGCCCCGTCCAGTTCCGCCTTGATACGGCGGAACTTTGGGGCGTATCCTCAGGCGCCACTGGAATGGGGTTAACAATGTCAAATAACACGGATTGAGGCAAGAAAATGTCAGTAGGATACATTTGAAAGCAAAAACGAAAGGATATTTTCAATTGACTGATGATGATGGACTAGGACGAAGTATAGCATTACAGCTACAGACAGAGACACATGATATGCGTGAAAGTACGACGTCAAACGGCTGATAAAAAATAAAACATGGCCGTTTATGGAACAAAATAAAATGTGATGTAAGAAATATGATCCGCTGTCGGAAGCATATTCATTTTCAGAACCTGGTGGTCCGACTCTGCCCGATCGCACAGCAAAGTACATACATGGTGAAGGATCGACATAAGATAACCTTTTTTGCTGTCAACTGAAGAAGGGTTAGGAGGTCGGCTATCGGAACGGGACATTGAAGTGGCCATTAACATAACACGGCTTTCATCATCGTAATTTGTAGACTGAATAATTGACGCACTCCGCAAGCCAGATGGCATTTGGCAGCTCCGGCCACGTCTTGGCATTAGCTTACGTAGGTTAATACCAAGATTCTTACAGATAGGTAATACACGGAAAATCTGTAGCGCCGGGCGCTCCGGCACAGCATACCTTTCAGGCCTCAACTACTAGTGCCATCTAGGGACGGATGTGTAAGTAAATCACTTCGAGTGAATCCAATACGAATCTCAGCGGCTCTCAGCGATTGTCTTCAAAGCATCGACGTGATGCATAATAATCATAAATAACATAAATACAGGTGAGCATATGCCTGCTAGTAAAGTTACCCATGCATAATTTTGGCATCAGAATGAAGCCGTTATAAAAAGACGTTGTCAACGGCCACAATCGATCGAAGCTAGACTAGATCCAATATAACAAAGGTCGACCCGACAGGTGGCATAGTTAGGCCCAAAAACAAAGCCTTTGGCACTTATCTGGGACGTAACCGAGAGGGGAGGGTCATCTTACGGAAACAATGGCTCACTCCAGGGAGGTCAAATGAATAACGGACTCCTGCCATTATGATATAATTTGAAAGGCATCTTAGTCTTACCAGTAGATAACATGGATTTTCAACTTGTCCTTCATTGTTTTGCAGAGTTGACCACGGATAATCCAAACTTAATATTGGCCTTGCTGATTATTCAAGTTTAACTGAAAAGAAATGTGAAATAATAACCTCGCTTAACCAGGGCCCTGTTCATGAACCCCGGCGGTCGCTGCGGCCGCTGCGGTCGCTGCGGTCAGCCGGGTTGTTACGTCACGAAAAGGGGCGGGGCTCATGTAGTATGACGAATGTATGACGTCACCTTGCTGCGGCCGCTGTGATCTCTGCGGCCGCGATCCAGCGACCGCCGAGCCGCAAGAAAACTAATTGCACTGAACTTGGCGCACTGAAGTCAAATAGGCGCAAGCCGCGTTGTCATGGAGACGATTTTGTAAACAAATTACCTAGCGGTGTGCGTCAGTTGTAAACAATTGTCGGAAACTATTTCGGCAGCAGACGCTGTTCATGGAACGCTGCTGCGGCCGAGTGAGTGATGACGTTTCAAAAATGGGCGGGGCTTAGAACCTGCGGCCGGCCGCAGCGACCGCCGACTTCATGAACAGGGCCCTGAAAATATCCATTTCAGCCAAATATTCAACAAATAGCAAACAAACACTGCTGATGTCGTCGTCATGGCAACAAATAATTGCTCGGGCACCTGGACATCAAGGTATTTTCTCCAGTCTTGCAAAATTGTGGACGCTGATGATCCACTCTCACTATACGGCCTTGATGATCGTTGCACCGGCACATCATCGACGCATAGGCTCGCCCAGTTTCATCAATGTAGAATATGAGATAACACGGCTACAGGATGAATTCAGTTTTTTTTTTACCGCTAGATAGCCAGGAAAGAAGTACTCGTCATCTGTCAGCCGGCATTAAAGCGTTCAATATATTCCGCTGCTTTATTTAGATATTGTAATCGCAAACTATTCGTAAACGTTCATCGTCATTAAAGTAAATAACGTTGCTTGATGGTTCGTTTGTCGAAACTCGTAGATGTATTATACACGGAAAGGCAATGCAATAACTAGCATCGTAGATGTATATTCATACAAAATGTGCAATTCACAGTAAGTTGGCCAGTCTCTCAAACTTGCCTCGTAGATCGGTCCTAGGCTGATGTGCCATTGACCGGACCGGCCCGACGGGAAAATATTGGTTCGGCCGGCAAACTGATCTCAGCCAGTAATCACCGGTACAGGACGGAAGTCAGATCAACTGAATAGCCACTATGTCTTAGGACTGGTTATAAGGGTCGAGTAAGCAGCAGAGGCGCAATGTACCTATAACGTGACGATTAACCGTATCGGCAGAGACTCTCAATACAATACACAATGATGAACATGCAAGAAAGAACGGAAGGTACAAGCTATATAAAAACAATATAAATCGTAGTGTATAAATCGACATATTGCGATGAGAGTACGATGCATATATACAGTTTGAAACCAACAGCTTGGTTTGAGCGAGAAGACTTTCAATTCTGAGGTCGTTTTGAAGGAAGATCTATCCACAACTCATGGTACCGTAAGCAATCCAGATTCAATGATTCATTACATTACTTACGATCAGTTGCTGCAAAACATTATCGGCTCACATATCACACATGACTATCAATGCAGGACGGACTGGGAATTCGTGACTCTGAGAGTCGTGATTCGTGACTCAGCGAGTCGTGATGGGCGGAAGGATCTGTGACCACAGGCCTGGACAGTTCAACTACAAAAGATACGCATTACCACTGGTGTGAGCATGATAAGACACTCTCACCAACAATTCTTAACAATGAGTTTGGAACAACATGGAGTCGATGTTACCTCGCCTCCCACCAAGCAAGCCAGCTGACATGAGATCCAATCATATCGTTCACGCACACAGCAAGATCATTTGAGCAGATCAGCGACACTATCTGCTTTCTAACAGGCAGTGATGAATGATGGTATATAAAAAGACACTCAATATATCTAGTAGCGTCTCTTCATGATTGTCCCACCCAGCCATGGTTGGAATGTCTCGTCTGACCCATGCTGGGGCGATAGTCCCGTTTACTACGCTTCTACAGCGCCACGGGCGGCGGTCACCGGAACTACTCGTATCACAGATGTCGCGCCATGTTCACTGGCCGTCTCACCACCACTAACCCTGACATCACACGAGTAACTTCAGTGTGACGTCACACTCAGCCCTATCACGTCTGACCTCACATGGCCGTTTCCAGCGGCTGCGATCGAGTCCTTCCCTGCTGGAAGTAGTCATCCGACGCCAGACTGGCGGAGCGAGGGAACGGGTCCGCTGACCGCGCTACCGTCGCTGCTGGCGGGGTTGGACCGCGTGCCGGCACACCCTCATACACAGGCACTGTGTCGGAGGCCGCATCCTCGTCACCAAACGGTCTCTTCAACTCCAGAGTCGAGTCACTGGCGCCCGAATCATCTGCCACCGAGCTGGGCTTGCAGTCGTCCAGCTCGACGGCCATTTTTTGGTCGTAACTGTCGACGGCTGCACCCGCTCCCGCTGGCTCCAAGGGAGACGGCACACGGGACGTGAATGTTGACCGGTCTAGGTAGCCGCGGTTCTCATAACCGAGGTCGAATGTGGGCCGAGCCAGCGCGTCGGCGTTGGCGTTCTCGAGGCGCGGGTCGTGCGCGAACCGCTCGTCGAAGGTGGTGGTCGAGTGTGTCTCGTCGAACGACGGTTTGGCGATCGAGTCGACGCTGCCGCCGGTGGCGCCGTCTGGCATCGGGTTCGGCTGTGAAGCAGATGTAACCAGAGTTAAATAGAGGCCTGACTGAGGGACTAAGAAAGAGTGATTATGGGAAAACACGGGACACTTACGTTTAACCACATGCGATGGTTGAGAAACACAAAAATATCGCTAGTAAGCATAAGACATAGCATTTAAAAACACCCAAAACGAATAAAACCACAGGCTTCACGAATATCTCGTCCGTCGAGCAACAGTAACACATCCAGCACCACCATCACTCCACCACATCGCCCCCAACCACACAGCTCAGCACATCCCGCTATAACTCACATTGGGCCGGCGTCGGTAGCCTCCGGTCCCCCCTGACACATCCGAGAAGCTGCTGGCCAGGGAGCGCGTACTGCGCACACTGCTGCGGATGCTGTTGCGCCTGTGCAGCTTCTCCCTGTGTCTGTGGCGCGACTTGGCCACCCAGAGGCCGCAGATGACCAGTAGGAAGAGCAGGGCGGCCGCTCCGGCGCCCAGTACTCCGATAACCACGTCGTCACGGGTCCAGGACAGCGGGTCGGCCGTCACACGCGGGTCTGCAGGGGGGGCAGGCATGTCAACGCGGAGGTAATAGTATACGCTGGGTGTTCAATGGATAGCATCCCGATGCCACATACTGATACCATTGACCAAAAATATTATATTTTTCATAGATATACGAGTAAGAAGAAAACACACGCGTCCGATAGTCACACATTTTTAGCTCCTTATTTCAAGCAGCGTACGTTATGTTTCTACCACTCTGGCTCTATCTTCTTAGTAAAAGCTTTAGCTGACAATAAAACCCATTGAATGGATTATCGCAGCTGTCATTACCGTCGTCTGATGGCTATCCCCATCCCAACCCGACCTTACTTATCGAGCCACCGCCCTCCCCCTCTCCCCATATACACACCCATTTCGCAGAGGAAGGGCAGCTGCAGCTCGCAGGGTCCGGTGACGACGCGCTGCTGCACGAAGTAGCTGCAGCCCTCCACAATGTCCAGGTGCTGGACCCAGACCCGGTCCAGGCGCCAGTTGTAGCGATCCTGTCGGCCGCGGATGTATCGTACCAGGCCGCTGTAGTCGGTGTTCAGGTAGGGCATCGATGCGTTATCGTCCTGTGGGGGGAGACGGGAGCGAGGTTAGAGGTCACATAGGACACGAGGTCAGCTCAATAACAGAGGGACGTGACAGAGGTCTGAGTGTGGTCACAGGTTACTGTGAAGTTTCAGTGGGATTCCGAAAGTCAGCTGAGTGAGGTACGACCTACAGAGATTAGAACAAAGACGAGGCGGTTTCACGCATCTTCTCGTTTTTTTTTTCTTCTGTCATCAACAAGCTTACTCAATGCTCAGTTTACAACGGGGCCAGAGACAATGTAGAGGTAGTTCTCGTTAGTCGCCATGTCACGTCCGACCCCGCACTTACCAGACAGAACTGTTTGGCCTCAGTGAAGTTCATCGGCGCCGGCATGTACATGAAGCAGGTGGTGTCGACCAGGGTCCAGCCCGGCGGACACTTGCCGCTCAGCAGCGAACGGTTGTTCATGTGGAAGTTACTGCCGGACGAAACGGTCCAAGGTTACGGACAGTGGAGATTCAACGTTATCGAGGCATTGCGATCATCGCAATCGTATTGACGTTCCGAAAAAAGCAAGAATGGTAAAATTTAAACATAATTAGCTCGATCACGTTTCGTAGTGTCTTACGGCACGAATCGACCGATACTATTAAGAAAAGATAAGAAAAGCTAGGCATTCGAATAAACAGAGCCGCAGCATCCCGCGCCACAATGAGGCTAGCGTTCAAGAGACGGTGGGTCTGGCGGTTACCTGAAGTCGACTCTGAGCAGGCCCTGTCCGTCCAGCTTGTCCTTGATCCGCCCCTGGATGGCCAGAGTCTCGTTATAGCCCCACCAGTTGTGACGGGCGTCCAGCGGAGTGCGCCAGACCTCGTACCTGGAAGCACAGAGACGAGAGCAGATGGTTAGCGGTTGTTAGACACAGGAGGAACCGACATTTAGTAAATACGATATATAAATGACAAGTAATAACATCGGCGCCAGAAGGAAGGCACATCATAGAGTCATCATACCAGACAATAACAGACGGTAGCTTCACGCAGCTCTAACTTGTCACAGTAGCAGCAGGACGCACAGCACGAACGTCAATGTGGTAACGGAATGGTCTCAAAACTCAGCAAGTGCGCATGACAAATACTTTTGACGTTGCTTGGAGCCGCAGTAGCATACTAATTGAGCACAATGCACACATTCAACTGACTGTTGAATTAGCCCCAAAGTTATCACAAATGCTTAGCGATGCATGATAGATGCAGGGAGGCCTCACCTGTAGTTTGAAATCTTAAGATCTTCCCTGTGGGCAAAACGGGCGAAGGATTCTGTAAACAGACTGATGCGTACAAAATACACCGGTAGTGCCACCAAAACCCGAACCGGTGGCGGCATACACTCGACATTACGCCATTGTGCAGAAGTGCAGTCAGACCATTGAGTTCCCATATTTACCAGAACAAGAGGGACTGATGGGCCACCCAGGGGTACCAAAAGCCAGTGCAGCATTCCTGTATCGACACACACACACATTAAGTACACAGTGCATTATGTAGAAAAAACCGCTAAGTGCATCAATAAAATCTATTGAAAAAGATCTGAGAAGAGCAAGAAACATCCCGTGAGATAAACGACATCCTACCTAAGCTTATCAGCGATATGCACATACAAAAGCACATACACCGAAACAATCCCAACTACGCTAATTGACAAATCTAAAAGCAAGAAATCATCCAACCCTTCCTTCCAAATGCCAACCACTCCCTGTCCCTTCAGCAGCCACCAGTCACCCAAAATCACCAGCCCAGCGGTGCGCCTGTGACCCTCCCTGTACCAAATCACTAACTCTGTGCGGTTGATGGTCACCAGCTCGTAGTCATTGTCAATGTTCACCAGCACGTTATCGGCGTACTGCTGGCCGGCGCTGCCCGCCAGCACGGTGGTACGCTCCTCCCGGTCAGTAGCGTAGTTCCTGGGGGTAGGAGGTGGGTGACGGTTAGCGGAGGGACGGCCGGGATTCGGCAGTGCTGGTACCGTGTAACTGATGTAACATAGGTTGTGGCGTGGCTAGGGATTCGGAGCACACTACCAATTTAACCCTAGAACGCCTAGGGGGGGGGGGGGGGTTGTATCAACCCCCCCCCCTGAGGTTTTTTCGAAGTGCACGCTAAACGGCTTGTCGTAGCGGGCTGAAATTTTCAATGCCCTCTGGGGCAACCTTTGCGCATCTTTTGCCGAAAAAAAATTGATCGGGTCATGTCAGGTCACGGAGTTATGACGTCATAAGAGGTACAGCCTCCGGCCGGATTTTCACAAACTGAGTGCCAACGCCCGAGGTTTCCTGCCGGTGGTACGGACATCGGTTGATGGATCGTGATGAAACTTCCCATGCATGTTGGGGCAAGTATTGGCTATCATATGGTATAAGAAATTTGACCGGGTCAGGTCAGGTCACGGAGCTATGACGTCACAAGAGGAACAGCGTCCGGTACTATTTTTGAAAAGCGCCCGAACCACTATTTTGCTAATTCTTGTCACCTCAATGGGAATATGCAGCAATATTAGCTTCTATAGGGAGCAAATGGACCTCCCAAATCCAAAAATACAATCAGATTTCAAAAATTTAAATTTTGATTTTTCGAATTTCTGCCGCCGACTGTGACCTTGCCGACTTCCGGCGCTCCCAACGCGCCATTTTTAGAGCTAGGGAAACTAAATACATACCAAACGATAGAGAATTGATCAAGGAACACGATAGTGAAGGTTTCAAGTCGATATCTCTAACCGTTTTGCCGCAATCGCCGCCGAAAGTTGAAAAAAGTCTATTTTTCCGAAAATTTGACCTTTGACCGGTCAAAAGTAGGTCAAATGTTGACCTAGGACCAAAAAATATACCACCAATCGCGAGATCTCGTTGAGAGCAATCCGTTGGTTTTTTCCGCTAAGCTCTACGACCTTCCGTTTCGAAACGCCAGGGGGGGGTCGTAACAACCCCCCCCCTGGTCGTTCGTGTTATGAGAAATGGCCTGGTCGTGCGAGGGTTAAATAGAATCACTTGTGGAAATTAAAATGAGCGTCGAAAAATTTATAAATGATCAGCAATGTCGCGCCAATTGATATAACTGAATTGTCTCATCGCATGCTGGCTAACGCGCGGTAAGTTTCAAGCGTAGTCCTTACATGATAAAGCCGTTGTGGGCGAAATTCTGGTAGATGGG